AAGAGTACAGGGAGGAGCCCCCTTTTTTTAACTTTCTTTATCGAGGTATAACATAAAATGTAACAGTAAAGGGGGTAAAGTGCTCTGTTATTTTGTGTGCAGCTTAATGTATTTTTACATATGTGGGTACCCGGGTAAATCACCACCTCGGGAAAGATTTAGGATATTTCCAGTACCTCAGAAGATCCCTTCATGGCTCTTGCCAGGCTTAACTCCTAGAGATAGATAATCGCTGCTCTGACATCTGTCACCAGTGATGGATTCTGCCTGAGCTTGTGCTTCATCTAAATAGTATCATGCAGTATGTACTCCTGTGTCTGGCTTCTTTTCACTCAGTCTAATGTGAGATTCAGCCATGCTGTTTTGTACATCAGGACTTCATTCCATTTAAATTATTACTGTGTTGTAACCCATTGTATGGGAGATACTGTGATATGTTTGTCTGTTGATGGACATTTGGGTCATTTCTGCTTTTTAGCTATTAGAAAGAAAAGCTGCTCTGAACATTCCTGAATGTCATTTGGTGCGCGTGAGTTCATGTGTGTTGGATTACCTAGAAGCCGTGTTGCCAAGGCAGCGGGCAGGCATATAGTTAGTTGTCGTAAGTTCTCCTGGTTTTTTCCGAAGTAGTTCTTCAGGTTTCCTCTTCCCAGCAGCTAATGCTCCATAGTGTCAGTGTCCCTTGGTATTGACACTTGACGATTCCTTTTTTTTTTCTTTCAAGGTTTTATGCTTCTGGCAGGCCGAGTCAGGAAGCAGGAGGAGGTTGATGTGATTCAAGAAGTCCTTGAAAAACATTTCAAGAAAAAATTGTGTCCTCAATCCCTCTTCTCCAAAGAAAATCTCCTAAAATTGCTGAGTGAGTAGGCCATCACATCCAGAGGAGAATAAATTGAGTTGTATTCATATTAGAACCTAAATATGTACTCTGCCTTTGATAGGTAAATTGTCTACTCAGATATCCACATTGGAGTCTAAGTTCAGCCACGTCGTGTGGACCAAGGGCATGCGGAGACTGGCGATGCTGGTGGGAAGGGCGTTGGAATTTGGTGAACCAGTGCTGCTGGTTGGAGACACTGGGTAAAGTGGGGAGACAGTAACTCATTCTGAGGATTCAGTTCAATTAGTAGAGTTCATGTAGTGTGTGCCCTTCTGGATAAGAGACATGGTAGGGTGCTTGGTTTTGGGGAAGGGCCCCCTGAGCCAGGGGGCAGGCGCTCTGTGTTGGCCAGATGCCCTGTGTTGGCCAGCAGTGTCTGTGGCCAGAGCTCCCCTCTCTTGTTGACTGGAGTGTTCCTGGGTGTGTATTTGGAATTCATGCTCCTTGTTAATCTGGTGTGTATCTCTTAACAGGTGTGGGAAAACTACTATCTGTCAAGTGTTTGCAGCCTTGGAAAAGCAGAAATTATACTCAGTCAACTGCCACTTACACATGGAGACATCGGACTTCTTGGGGGGGTTGCGACCCGTGAGACAGAAGCCAAATGACAAGGTTTGTCCTGAGCAAATGATAACATGTTCATTTAAAGAATTGTAGTCAGCTCTGCGAGAGTCAACTGTGGGATTTTTTTCCTGGTGGGGCATACAGGTTTGATACATATCTTATCTTCATATTTTCACTGGTCTGCAAGGGACCTCCACAAGCATCCTGTTATGTGAGATCTGTTCCTTGTTCTCCAGTCTTTGTTTTCTGCAGAGCAACTCCAGCAGACACCCACTAGCTACATGTGTATTGTCTTGTGGAGCCACCTGCCCTTTAATTTCACCCTCTTCTTTTCCAAATTGTAGGAAGAAATTGACACATCAAGACTCTTTGAGTGGCATGATGGGCCTCTGGTTCTGGCCATGAAGGAGGACGGCTTTTTCCTCTTGGATGAGATCTCCCTAGCCGACGACTCTGTCCTGGAAAGACTCAACAGGTACATGAGTATAAGAGGTTTACCCTGTGTTTGATGCTTTTGATGGTCTGGATTTTATAGATATTAATTCTTGTGCACAGTAATGTTCTTCATAGGTACACTGTATTCAGTAAATGTTTGAAAATGATGATGAGCTATTGCTTTTTTTGGCTTTAGCACTCAGTGTCTTTAAGAGACCTAATTTTTCTGTTTAGCTGTCAATAATCAGAAAGATGGGACTATGGGAGGATAGGGCTAAAACAAACAAGCCCAAGTTAAAATTCTTTTTTAAGGCAAATTATGTGGCCATTATCTTAATTTTTTTTCCCAAAGAACTAGAATCAAAATCTTGGATGTTACAGCTGTAAGGACTCTGAAAACCCCAGACCAGGACACCGACCCTCCACACCAGACTTGGCTGGCCACATAGCCCCCTAGCCGCATACTGGTGTCGGATGTGAGAGCATGTGCTTGAGTAAGAAATCAGGCTTTGCTGAACACGTTCAAGCAAAGATGCTTTTCCAGAACAGAAAGGAAACTCATGCATCAGAAAAGGTGACTAGTGAACGTACTGAAAGAATATGGCTGCACAAATACTGAAATCTGATCAGATAAAACAGTTTAAGAAGTTTCTCAAAACCTACACAGTAAGCCTACGGTAAACCTGCTATTTGCATTGTGAAAGACTTCAGGACAAGAGAAGTAAAGCCCGAAGTGACCTCACCTGCTCAGAACATTGCTTCCAGAAATGTTTAAAAATGACACGAAGAATATCAGTGAGATTTCAGGAGTATCCTGTTCAACAGAATGAAGCCCTGATAGCCAGTGCAGGATGCCTTGGCCAACCACGTAGAGAAGTCCTGATGGACGGATCCCTGATGAGATACCGGAAATGAGGTCTCACCTGACAGAAACCGCCCGAAAGCAGTAGCCACCGTGTGAACCAGCCATCTGTCCTGACTGGCAAATAAGAACCACTGGAGAAGCAAAATTGCTATTTACCAGAGTAATCAAAATAAGTCTTGTTGTGCAGTGAAAATAGTAAGATGCAGCATTTGTTGAGACCTTAAGACTCAGCAGCTTGGTCACTTGATTAGAAAAATAAACCATTGTTTCTTCAAAATAGGTGTTCAGTCATGAGATAGAAAAAAAAAAAATTATATTACTAAAAGTAAAATAAATAGAAATAACCCAAGGGGGAAGAAAACGAAACAGGGATTTCCCTGGCAGTCCAGTGGTTAGGACTCCACGCTTTCACTGCCGAGGGCCGTGGTTCATTTCGTGGTCGGGGAACTAAGATCCCGCAAGCTGCCCGGTCAAAAAGAAAAAAAAAAAAATCCCCAAACAGAAAACCTCAGATCAGTGTGAATCTTGATGAATACCTGTGTTTCTCTCTTTATCGAGGTATAATTTACATATCATGAAGTGTACCTGTTTTAAATGTATAATTCAATAAGTTATTTTTTTTTCTTTCTTTTTTTGGTGGGGGTTGTTTCTTTGTGTGTCGGGGGCTGGGGAGTTGGGCGGTGGCCGTGCCGTGTGGCTTGTGGGATCTTAGTTCCCCGACCAGGGATCGAACCCCGGGCCCCAGCAGTGTGAGTGCCGAGAGTCCTAACCACTGGACCGCCAGGACGTCCTCTAATTCGACGAGTTTTAGTAAATTTACTGAGTTTTGCAGCCACCACAATTCAGTTTACATTTTTATCATCCCAGTAGCATCCCTCCTGTGCATTTACAGTTTTATCTTTGATGCCACCTCCTGCTCCAGGCAACTCCTCATCCACTTCATGTCTGTATAGATTTGTCTTTTCAGGACATTTCATATAAATGGTCTCTTCTTTAACTTTGCATCAATGTTTTGAGGTCCCTCCATGGTATAGCCTATATCATTAGTGTGTTCCTTTTTGTTCCTCATAGTATTTCATTGTGTAGATAATACCATATTTTTTTATCTGTTCACCTCTTCTTGGTATTTGGGTTGTTTCTGTATCTGTGAATAATGCTGCCATGAACATTTGCATGCTAGGCTCCCATTTTTTATTTAATTTATTTTAAAATATTTATTTATTTGGTGGTGCCAGGTCTTAGTTGTGGCTTACCGGCTCCTTAGTTGCAGCACGTGGGCTCCTTAGTTGTAGCATGCAAACTCTTAGCTGCAGCATGCATGTGGGATCTAGTTCCCTGACCAGGGATTGAAACCAGGCCCCCTGCATTGGGAGTGTGGAGTCTTATCCACTGTGCCGCCAGGGAAGTTAGGCTCCCATTTTTTAAAACAAGTGTCTTGACGTAAGTGGGAAAAGGAATTCTTTTTCTTTTGATCAGAACTGTTGTTCCACTACATAAGAATAGGGATAAATATTCACTTTGAAGTTTGTAGCAGGAAACCATTAACTAAAGTGAAAGCTCAACAAAGGAGATGACTTTTTTTTTCCTTTTTGAGAACACTGAAGACCACAAAATAGAATACAGAAGCCTTTTCTAATCTCACATTCTCCAATTTTTCTTCTAGTGTCCTCGAAGTGGAAAAGTCTCTGTTATTAGCTGAGAAAGGCAACCTAGAGGACAAGGATAATGAGGTAGAGCTGTTGACTGCTGGGAAGAAATTCCGTATCTTGGCAACCATGAACCCCGGGGGTGACTTTGGGAAAAAAGAGGTAAAACTGTGTTCTTGAAGCATAATTTTTTTCTGCCTTTTGACCTCAGCTCACTGTACCCATAAATACAGTATGTAAAAATGGGTCTGGAATTTTATGTGGTAAAAACTGAGTAAAAGATAAAAATCCAGAGAGAGCCATTATAAGGTTGAAAAATAATTCTGACAGGTAAAACATTTCCTTATTTGATGTCTCACTTTTGTATGTGCCTGAAATTTCATTATTGCAATCACTTTGCCTGGCTTTTTACATATGTTAAGGTAACAAAGTCTCATGAGAGCTCTGTGTGGAAGTTATTGCGCTAGTTTTATGGATGAGAAAAGTTGAAACTGAAGTTTATTCTCCCGTTCTGCTTCTAGAGTCTATTCTGTTAAACACGAGAGTGGTGATATGAATCACTTAAAGTGACAAAAAAGCATCACAGCCAGGATCCTGTCCTGGTTTTGCAGGTGGAGAGTATCTGTTCTCTCGGGGGTCGTGTGGGTCACCCTCAGACTGTTGGTAAAGGAATGGGTGATTTCTTCTGTTCAGAAGGTGGTATGAGGGTCCCCCAAGCCCCACGGCTTCCAGGCTCATGAAGCCTCTCAGTGGAGAAGTCTGCGTTGTGTGTGGGACCCTGGTGTGTTCAAGTTAGGGAAAGGGTAGTGTGGGAGTAGGTCAGGATGATGAGCAGATATGGGTTGATCGGGAGTGAAAGCAATTAAGATTCTTGATAACTTGGTGGCTGCCTGAAATGTGAAAATGATATTTAGGGCCTGATATTCCTCAGTAGCATAAGAAGAAAGATGATCACTGTGCTTTGGGAAATGTACTGAAGGGAAGAAATAACATACACCACAGTTTCAGAGTATGAAAACAGGCGCTGTGGCACGTGGAAGTAGCACAGAAAGATCTGATTTCAAGGTTGTATGTGTTAACTTGCCTGTCAGGTTAGCTTAAGGTTTTTTTAGACAGAGATTGCCGGCTTTTACCGAAGGGAAAGCTAGCTTTTGGTTCTGCCTGCCTTGCTGCAGAGGGAGGTGGGATCCTGGAACCATGGTCCTGCTCAGCTGGGATGGTGCTGAGCAGCACATGCAACCCCTGGGGCCTTTGCTGAGCTGCTCCTGGGTCCAGGCGTTGCTCCTGGTCCTGCTGTGCTAGACCGGGTAGGCAGAGGATGGAGTTGATCTGTCCAGTAAAAGAAAATCGTTGGTGAACTTTTGTGAGCGGGTGTTATCTGACCTAGGGGGAGGGTAGAATGAATCCAGACTGAGGGCAAAGGCCCTGAGACTGGAGGACTAAACAGTTCTTTGTCATACAAGAGGTAAGTATATACCTGTTTGCAATTTCACTCCTTTTGAGCCACATCAAAGTTTTCTTCTACTTCAGACAGCTCTCCCACATGGGAAGATAGTGTTTATTTTCTCCAAACCACCAGTCAAGTAGCTGAAGGGAAAGTAAAGGGAAGGGCCTTTGCTTAGGGGAAAGTGTTGGGGTTTGGAAGTCATCTACGGCGGCTGAATCCTTCTTGCACCACGGACTCTATAAGACCTTGAAGTTCTCTACCATGATTATAAAGAAAGGGGTGGTAGTACGAGCTCGGGGAGTGTGGTGGAGATAATGAGATGACATGTGGAAGGAGCCGAACAAATAGGTGTTCAGTGAATTATAGACAGTAGTAGAGGTGATAAAAGAAGCATTGGGTACTTGCCACATTCACAGCCAGCATTCATTCAAAGGATTTGTTTTCTAGCTTTCCTCATAGGTATTAAATTCACATTAAAATTTGTGTTCTTTGTAGCTGTCTCCTGCCTTAAGAAACCGTTTTACAGAAATATGGTGCCCTCAAAGCACAAGCCGTGAAGACTTAACTCAGATTATCAGCCATAATCTTCGCCCGGGATTGTCTCTGGGCAGAACAGATCATAAAGGTGAGAGTGTTCGGGTGGTGGCGGTGGGGTGGGTGTGTGTGTTGGAGGGAGGGGAATAGCATGTTTAGCAGTAGGTGTGTATGGCCTGTTCTATGGAGAAGTGATAACAAATAGAGAGATGTAAGGAAGACGTGATACTAGCCTGTTGCCCTCTACCGAAGTATCCCTTCTTCACCTTGCTTCCATCACCGGGTTACTACGTTTTAGCTTTCTGATTGTTTCACCTGTCGGCCATCTTTATATATAAGGCATATTTGTTGGCTAAAGATAAGGAAATGTGGTTTAAATTTTAATCATTACCACCGTTAGAAAATGTTCATAGAATTTTAAACTGCATTTCTTTAGTAGTTTGTCAACTAATTTATTATTTCACTTTATTTAAAATTTTCCTTTTATTATGAAAATTTCAAACACAAGGAAAATAGAGTAGTATTTAAAAAACTCCCATAGACTTGTAACCTAAATTTAATAATTCTTAAAATATCCAGTAAGAGCCAAAACATTTATTATACTTTTTTTTCAGATTGAGCCTAGACTGCCCTGATTAATCCCATATTCTCGGCATTGAATGGGCTAAATTTAGGACCTAGATCTGGTTCTAAGCCTTAATACAAACCCTAATACAAGTATTTTTTTGGTTCATTTTGCTTCTCTGTCTTAAAGAATATAAAAGGATGTCTGCTTCTTTGAGATTGAGGTTCATGGATATGTTCAGCTTTTTAAAGGCATGCTAAAACACAGCTTCAAAAATAGGTAGGATGGCTATGGAGAGTAGGTGCATGGGTCCCAGCCTCATCTGTGGTATAGTAGGAAAGATCGGCTCTTTAAAAGTCACCCGAGCACAGACTTCCTTTTAAGAAGGGCCGTTACTGAACCTCAGTATTCACGGGTGTACACAGTGCTGTCTGAACAGCTGGAGTTCCCCTGGCTCCACCAATATCACAGCTACTCAGTGGTGCAGAATTGACTAAGCCTGCGATTGCCAAACTCTCCTGGACAACTTGTTTAAATATAGCTTGCAGGGCCCTGCACCCAGGGCTTCTGATTCATTCGGTCTGGTGTAGGGCATGAGAATTTGCCGTCCTAACAAGTTCCCAGGTGGTCCAATAATATTGGTCTGTAGCCCACAATCAGAACTTGTGTGTTACCTTGGTTGTGTGCATTGGTGCATTTATGGTGAAAATTCAAGTAAAAAGAGGAGGAGAAGACAGAAATTGTTAAGCTGGCATGGTTTGTCTTTCGGCTCTGAGTTGGGACTGGGTCCCCCAAGGAAGTAACCTCTGAATCTCCTATGGGCTGCTTACTCTTCTGAGCTACCTGGATTGTGATAAGAATGGTGGAGGATGCAACTGCTGTTAAGCTGCCACGTTTGCTGCATCATCAGTGCTTTTCATGTTTAACTGAGCAAACTGTTCCTCGACAGGGACCCCTGGGACTTACTCTGAGCCTTACGGCTGGTCCTTAAGGAGCTTGTTTACTCCATGCTTTCCAGGCTGCGTGGCAGCAGACTTCCCTGGGGAGGCATTAGAGACCCTGAGGGAACATGGAGCATGAGGGAGAAGTGGCTTAATTATTTATATCAGTTTTTTCATTTGGAAATGGATCAGGGTGGCACAGCATAAAAACATTTTTTAAATTGTGTAATATAAAACAGGAAATTAGGGAATTCCCTGGCAGTCCAGTGGTTAGGACTCCGTGCTACCACTGTAGCGGGGCACAGGTTCGATCCCTGGTTAGGGAACTAAGATCCCACAAGCCACTCACCGCCAAAAAAAAAAAAAAAAAAAAAA